GTGAGCTGGCCCCCACCCCGCCCAAGTGTAGAAGTGTGGTGGCTCGGGCCTCACTGCACTGCCTGTATCTTACTGTCCTGTTTTGTTCTCTTCCACCAGCTGATCTACATGATGGCTACCACATATAACTATGCGGTTTTGAAGTTTAAGAGTCGGGAAGATTGCTGCACTAAATTCTAAATTGCATAAGGCCGATAAGGAGCTTTAGAGAGCTATATACTCTGTAGCGTGAAATATCACTGACCCTCCAGACTAAAGCAGTCTAGGTTTCTGCAGTTTTGTTACAGTAATTTGTAAATAGCTTTAGTAAACTCATTTTGCATGGCAGATTAATAAGATGACTTACTGTACATCAATTACAAAATAATGAGATCTGGCTATTTCTACATTTTGAAAGGAATCAGTTACTTACTGACATTGGTGAGCATCCTTTGAAAGATAATTTTCTTGAACTTAAACTCTGAGCAGTATCTCTAAATGAAGTATTAACACTTTGGAATACCCACATTTTCCGTTATTTTTGCTTGCTTGATAACCAGTTTGAGTGATGAAAATGAAAACAAGTGCTGAAGATGAAACGGAAGAGAACTGTTTAATGTGGATTTTGTTTTGTCAGACTTTTTCTGGAAAATAGTTTGCAAATATGTTTTAAATTTTACTTAAAAGAATTTTTTTCTGATCACATGGTTAACTACCAAACGCCCCTCAAATATGCCAGATGAAAATTTGAAGAAAGAGAAAGGTCACCTATTTGTTTTCTCTGAAAGAAAAAAAAAAACAGATTAATATGTGGGTTTTCTCATTTTGTTTTTGTTTCCCACAAAACAATCATTCCTTTAGAGCCCACAGAATTGGTAACCTTAAACGGTTGTATTTTGGTGAGCATAACTGTCTCCCTCCTAGCTACTTCTCAAACCGCACATGCGATTTTATTTAACAAGAAGAGAAACGGGCCTGGAACTGAAGGTCTCGAATATGTTGAGCAGGAAGTATGAAATAGAAGGAACTTGAGCTGTAGATTTACTTAGCAGGAAATTAAACAGGAAAGACGTGTTTGCCTCAGCAACTGTAAGGAATAAGGATTTTTACATTTCGTGAAATGAAACGATGGCAGTTATAAAGTGAAAACTGAAGTTTAACTACTAAAAATTTGTTAACACGGAGACTGCATGCTTTGCTTCTAGTTCTTAATTTGGGTTCTGACATTTCATTTTCCCATGTAAAATATGTAGTTTTTTAATTATTTACTCAAAATATAAACACTGTTCACACTCATTTTGTTTTTGTTTCCCACAAAACAATCATTCCTTTAGAGCCCACAGAATTGGTAACCTTAAACGGTTGTATTTTGGTGAGCATAACTGTCTCCCTCCTAGCTACTTCTCAAACCGCACATGCGATTTTATTTAACAAGAAGAGAAACGGGCCTGGAACTGAAGGTCTCGAATATGTTGAGCAGGAAGTATGAAATAGAAGGAACTTGAGCTGTAGATTTACTTAGCAGGAAATTAAACAGGAAAGACGTGTTTGCCTCAGCAACTGTAAGGAATAAGGATTTTTACATTTCGTGAAATGAAACGATGGCAGTTATAAAGTGAAAACTGAAGTTTAACTACTAAAAATTTGTTAACACGGAGACTGCATGCTTTGCTTCTAGTTCTTAATTTGGGTTCTGACATTTCATTTTCCCATGTAAAATATGTAGTTTTTTAATTATTTACTCAAAATATAAACACTGTTCACACTTTCAGGCCTTTGGGGGGATTGATTTTTATCCACAGGTGGAAAATATTTCTGTACTACTTATTTAAAATAAACACAAAACGTGTTTCTGAACTTTAAAACAACTCTCAAAATGGTAAAAACAGTTTCATTTTTGCTTTTTCTTAACAATAACGGCCTTTTTTCTCAAGTTCGTTGTTTGTGTACTAACCTTTCTCCAGCCTTTTGCTATTAAGCACACTAGTGGAGCATGCTTTCAGTCTCCGATAGCTCTGCTAGCAGAGCAAGTATTAATACAGAATAACCCTCGCCCCCTTTAGAGTCAAGTCCGTCTAATCTGACTAGCAGCTCGCTTTGCCTTCTCACATGCTCACTAGCCATCATGCTCACCCTTCTTTTCCAGATCCACTTCCTCATGATACTGTCTTCTAACTGGGCTTACTTAAAGGATGCGAGCAAAATGCAGGCTTACCAGGATATCAAAGCAAAGGAAGAACAGGAACTGCAAGATATCCAGTCTCGGTCAAAAGAACAACTCAATTCTTACACATAAATGTTTGCCAGAGGTTTCGGCCGACGAATTTACAGCTCTGACAAATCATCAGACAGCTGCTCTGCAGTACAGATGTGTATCCCACCAAACTAATGTAGACGTACAAACACTTCACTGTCTCTCTCAAGCTGCTGGGATGTATCTCTAGGAAAACTTTCCAGTGGGTAAATCTTTTTCTTTAGAATATTGGAGGTTTCATGTTAGCCATTTTAAAAGGCAACACTTTGACAAAATGATTGTTCATGCTTTCACAATTTGTGGCATGTTCAACCCTACCACTGGGCGATTAAAGTACGCCATACTCTTTCATAGGGACCTGTGACATGCCGGCACCAAGGGATGTGACCATAAGTTCACATATGCCACCAGTTCTGAAATGTTACCTATATAGGAAATAAAATGGAATTGGTGGGACGTTCCATTTCTGACAGCTGACATTTATTAAACTTGGGCTCAAAGATAATGTGATTCTTACAATTGCTTTTCTTTTAGATTAGCTTTCCTCTACTACCCAGTTCCAGGACCCATTAGTTTCCTGAGCCAATCATAAATCTTATTTTTCAATAATGCAAAAATGAGCTACACCAATTCTACTGGCCCTGTTGCTGAAGAAAGTGAATCTCACTGACAAGCTTTCTAGAGTCAATTTTTATAATAGATTTAATTTTAACAAAATAAAGACCCAGTTACCAATCTTCTTGAGGAATAAATGTCAGCTTTGCCTTAATGACTATTTGGTTTAAATTTGTAAGAATTTATATTTTAACCAGATATCCAAAAATCCTTTACAGAATTTTGTTCCATAAATATTTTTCTTAAGAAGTGTTACCTTTTTAAAATGACCACCATTCTAAACCATTTTTAAGTGGTCTGGATAGTGAGTTTACAGTTTCATACCAACTATATAAAACCTAATTACAAACTGACCACAAACCTCTAACCTCCTTTTATAGACTTGAATACTTAAATTAGGGTTGGTATTTATTTCACTTTTTCTTATCTAAATCTTAGTTTTCCTGGAATAGTAAAGTTTGATGTTCAGCAAGAAAACTGCTTGAGTTTAAGCCATTTTCAAAAGAAATTGCCTTCTAAATCATTGTGTTCCAGAACATTAAGTGACTATAGGTACTGGGTATTAGTGATGGTAAACTTTGTGTTGTTCTTTCTGAAATGATTCATATTAACTGTTGGGTGCATCAGTGCTTTTCAAAGGGGCTGCATACTATAGGGTTAACTGTGTATATTCATGTTAAGAGTTAACTTGTGGTTTGGCTGTTTCCTGGATTTTAACACATATACATGTGCAGAAATGTATTCAAATGAAAGGAAGCATACCTTATCAAGATGCTATTAAAATTGAACATCAAGTATATTTCATTTGGATTCTTTTTTTTTTTCTTGGTAAATGCCTAAAACTGCCTATTTGGAATTTTTTTTTAATTGGGAGAAGCTCTCTTCTGTGTAGAACAGTTGTTCTGAGATAGCTTAGTGCTTTGTTTTCCTGTTGCATGACAGACTTATATTCTTTCCAGCAGTGGAGGTGCTGTTAGAGTCCAGTGTTCTAGAAGAGGCAGCGTCTCAAGCCTAATTTTACTTTTCTAATTCTGGTAGCTACTACCAGGAATTTTTGAAAGTTTTGTTTAAGTAGTCTAATATTTTTTATGTAAAGAGCATTAAATTTTGCTATGTATAAATTTTTGTAATCTAACAGTGAATCGATATTATATATCAGTGCCAAGGGCTTCCTGTAGTTCTATTCAAGTGTTACAATAAATATTTGTAGATAATAGTCAATACTTGTGTATGCTTATTTTAAAGATCTATTTAGGTGGAAACAGTTGTGGATGTAATAAGAGCAATGAAATAAAATTATAGCTTCATTCACTTGCCTTTTTACCATACATAAATCCTATCTTTCTCTGTCCTCAGTATGGTGTCATTTTTAAATGATATGCGTGATCAAGATTTCACATTCGTATGGAAACCAAGTCTATGAGAGTGCTACATGTTTTATTTCTGACAAAAATATTTTCAGCAAGAGCAATTCAAGAAAAAAGTGTAAGCCCTAGGGTTGTTTTTTGCATAGAGTGCCAATAGCACTTTATAATCATTTGTAAAAAGCATAGACATTTTCTGACTAGCCTCTCCAACAAATAAAGCCAGGAACCTATGGGATTAACACAAGGATTAACCTTGGGCAAAGAAGAAACAATGGGGAGCCTTAATCAGTGTCTGTGTACCACTGGCTATTTTTCAAACTCGAGGTATAAAAAAAGTCTACTGAAAGAAGATTTTGTCAGTCCAACAGTTATTCTCTAAAGCAGCAGAGCTAAATTTGTTACTTAGGATTTCATTTTATAATCTGTTTAAGACCACTTATCTGTCAGCATGATTATGCCTTTGGATTTTCTACATCTGACCTTTCTTAGTGAGGACTGGCCTTTGTCACTATTGACACACTGCCATTTCTAAATGAGGTGCTGACTCTGGATCACCACCCCTTCATTCACACAGGCCAAGAGAACAATCAGGATTCCAATTAGTGTGCTATTTGTCACACTACTTAGTATCTTCTGTTTAGCATTTTGTGCAATTATTTAAGTCACTTGAGTCACCCAAATAAACTATAAATAATGGTTAAATAAAATCATAGATAAGATCACAAGCAGTCTCTTAATTATTGACTGTAATCCTGCCACAAAATGTAAGAACCACTAGAGGGTAGAGGCTTTTCCAGTGAAGCCTTGTAAAAATTGCCTTTTAAGAGAAAAGTGAGGTCAGAATACAGGGAAGGAACCTACCCATTTAAAACTAACAAATGAAATAATGAAGTCCATTCGTTAAAAATGACCGAAGTGTTCACAATAAAGATGATGTGTATATTCC